ACAGAGTCAATAGTAAAACTCGTCTGAGAATTCTCCGAGCAGTCTTAGAGTCGTAAGAGTCCTCTCGCGGTTCTTACAGTTGCCTGACAGCTATCCTAGGGCTGCAAGTTGCGTCGAATTTCAATTATTTTGCCAATTACCATTGCTCCAAATCATCAGCTCCGATCGCAGCAAGGTTAACTCGAAATCCGTAAGAAACTCTTTTTCGGCTCTCGAATTTCACTCGTAATTCAAGCTCTTTTGTTTGGCGCTGATTCGACGAGAAATATCATTGAGCGTGCAATAAAGTTTAGCGGTCGCGGGTTCTGATAAAACGAGGCGCACAGAGACGAACAGTGCCGACTCCTATACATCTCCACCTCGATGTGATGACATTTTTCAAAAAAACCAACGAATATCATCCGGGACCATCTAAATCATCCTGGCCGTACGGGAGCACCCTATGCTCGCGACCTTCGCAAACACCGGTGATTTTCGTTAGTGCTTGCTCATCGGAAAAAAGTCAGGCGAAAAAGAAGGAAAAAGAAGAAAAAAAGAAGGGGGGAAAACAATAAGAGAGAGAGAGAGAGATGGAGGTTTGAACACAGGTGAGGTGAGGAGGGTGGTGACGCGGAAGTGGTGTGTGCGGAGACACGCGGCCAGCTAGCCGGGGCTAGGTGGGTGGGTGCGCGTGTACGTGGATTACCGAATGTACGAGTGGGCCGCGTGTGGTTCTCCGAGATTAGCCTCGGCTTTATATCGGGATTACATATGTAAAACCATTAGGTTAAATCATTTTTTAAATAAACGCATCGTATCCCCTTTCGCCGAGCCGGCGCTGGGACAGATACGAAACTGGCCTGCAACAGCTCTTCCTCAACCAGGGGGGGTCTCTCTCCTACTAAAATATTCTGTAGCACGTATTCTGTGGCACGTGCTTTTCCCGATCTCTCTACCGATTCTCTCTGTAATTCTTGAGGATTGATTCGAGTAACGCCGCTTTGTCATACCGGCTGCGCTACGCTGCGTTTTAATCGTCGCTGATAAACCCTGCTGGCTTTCACATTATCCGCGAGGATTGTTATTTAGCTCGTGTGAAGCTTTATTTTTCACAAATTGATTAGCTGAGTGAATTGAGTGTCTCATACGAGAGTTTTGTATTTTACTGGCATGACTGATGTGTTGGGAGAGTTCAAAGGATTACCTGTCTTCTCTGGAGGAGAACGAACCTGATCCATAAATTCTCGAAGCTACGTGATAGATTAGGAATTTGATCAAATAAAAACGATTAACTTTCAAATAGAAAAGGGACACGAGTAACACTTGCGAGGAACTCAACTGTAGGGATGGTTGGAAAAGTTTGCTTAGCAAGAGGCGAGGGAAAAACGTGAAGAATCAGGAAATACGAAGAAATGGTGAAAATTGCAGTTATAAATCCTTCTCTTTGTGAACCTGAGAAAAGTTGGTACTGTCGTTCTTTTATTTTTTTTTTGCGCTCGCGCGAGTGTGCGCCTCGTTTGAAGAAGAGGCGAGGATCAGAAACAACTGGAATCAAGCCCAGAACGAACGAGGACACAGCATTAGGGGTTTACGAGGTGAACACTCGAGGGACGATTCGGAGGAACGCTTGTTGGAAGCTGTGTGGCAGGGTGGGATAGGTGGCACGAACGGTGAAAATTATTCATAAACATAGGCCGGTTCACGACGCAGGGGGACGAGGAAAAGAGGCAGGAAACAAGGCGTACAGTTCTCTCTTTCTCTCTCTGTCTCTCCGATGGCGCAACGTGTACAGAGAGAGCGAAGCTGAAATCTACCGAATATTAAGGTAGGAAAGGTCCTCCCAGACCGCATAATAAACACATAACGGTAATCCTTAAAACAATAATTAGCCGTGAGAGCCAACCAACAGGCAACGATCTTCCGGTGGCGCACGAAATAATGCGTTGGTTTCGTAGTCCGTTTGCCGAATTAATACCGCGATTCGCGACTTGCCTCGATCCAACTTGTTCACGTGAAATTGTGCCTTCTTGGGACGATTATCCTGTTTGAATCCTCCGAGGAAAGGCGAACCTTAATTATCTACTGTTTGCCTGTCTTGTGTAATTTTCAGGACAGTCGTTCGTCGTAAAAATTACATTAGATAGATCTCAATCACTGCAGTAAAATTATTGGTAATTTTTCAAAGAAGCTTTAAAAGATATTCAGGATGGTCGTTCATCGTCGAATTTATTGGTAACTCGCACACCAACGAGCAGATCGAATGAGAAAGACCGAAAGGCTGGACTGTACTTTCCAATGATTTAATTTCTAAGAAGATCACACGGACCGGTAAAATCCGAAATTCTCGTTGGAATTTAAAACAGTAGACTAAGTCTTGAGAGTAGGGGACGAAGAAGAAATCTCTGGCAAAGAAGAGGAAAAGAGAAGGGTGGAGGTTTCGGTGGTGGCGAGGTCGAAGAGTGGAGGCGGCGTGAAGTGCTAATAGTTTTAATCCGGTGTCTTGAAGTCGGGATTTGGTGGCATAGCAGTTAGTGGCTGCTGGTAAGTCCAAGCGAACCCATTTCGCGCTCTGATATCATAATCCGAATAATCACTATTATTGCCGCTATTTGCTTAATCCAAAGCTCGGTTGCTCGCTTTTCCACGCTTCGAAGTTTCAGATCTGTTGCCCGATGCGAACACCTAGCATTTTGTATCGAAAATATCTTCCGTGCTGTGTCATTTCCCGACGATTAAAACGTACAAATTAAACGAAATTTATTATCAATTTTACTCGATCCTTCCTAACTTACCGACGATTTTAATCTGACACGCACACACTTCGGGGGTAAGTAAGAGGGGTTGAAACAGAACTTTTAGTTCTTTGCGAGCAAATATCTGTCCACAGTGGTAGAAGTTTCACGGGCAATAATGCATAAACTCCATTTAGCTCTGTTTAAGCCGACTGGAAGGAAGGAGACATTAAATCCGTGAGATTCGTTCTAATGGCCGCGACTCTCTTACAAACTGTTTCGCGGCTCCTTTATACCATACATTTAACGGAGTGAGGTAGGGAAGTACACGTGCGTTCTTATAAATTTCCTCGATCCTTGGGCGGCGGAGGTTGCAGTGGCTCTGGTCGGGAAGCAAGGTAGAAATAACGCTTAAGTGAAATAACGAAAAAACTTTAGCATAAACTGCCGCTCTTAATTTGACCAGTTTGTTCAGCTTGCCTCTGCGCGCTGCTTCTATGGAGCTAAACGTTTTCGTTCGCTTCCGGAAAAACTTCCGGAATTATGAATTAGCGAAAAGTCGGCAGGCAGGAAGGCGATGCATTTATTCCGGACTGGACTTATTATGAAATTATAATGTGAAAGACAACTTAGGGCGGACCCACTCTCCTACCCCTTTTACCCTTTGCCGCAGCTGAATTAAGTAGCCCGGTCCTTCGCCGTACCTCGGAATCAATCAGAATTTTCATTTAACACTACGACGACCGTACTTTTTCACGGGTTTGAAATCGTCTGCTGGTTGAACGGTATGCTTCAAGATAAGAAATCGAGGGAATTTAACAAGTAGATCGAATAGAGGAGTTCTTGACTACCCTTTGATGTTTCAATTTTTATTTTGTTACAAAATGACGGACATTTGAATACAAAGCTCACGATTTATAGCTGGAGCGTCTCTTTTATTTAATTATGAAAAAGGGCGGCATTTTTGGAAAATCGGATAAACAACAATATCCTGTCCAAATTTCAAGCAAATTTGTCAATTAGTTTTTGAAATATGATGGCTAGCGTTTTAGAGGACCTAGTTCTGAAGAAAACGCGTATGAAGGTAGCTATGAGAAATTCTAAATTGGGCACAATAGTGGCGCCTAAGATCTTTGAGTTTGACTGAAAAACCAGAGTGGCTATCGTCTTAGAAGATCCAGCTTCGAGGAAAACGCGTTCGAAGGTAACTTACGAGGACTCACTTATGACAAATTCCAAATCGGGCACAGTAGAGGTTCCTACGATCTTTGTTCGAGAAGACAGCACCAGAAGAAAATAATAGACACAATGGCTACCGTCTCAGATGATCCAGGTTCGAGGAAGACGCGTTCAAAGGTAAGCATACGAGGTCTCACTTACGAGAAATTCCAGATTGGACGTGGTGTCTAAGACGTTCGATCGAGAAAGAGGCACGAGGAGAGAAAATAAAAGGCGTAATCGCGAGCATCGCGTGGTTAATTGCGCGAGGTTCTAATCACCCAAAACATTAGACAGGAGAACGAGGAGATGCTGTGACGGAGAGGGTGCACACGGGGGAGAGGTAATGTTACGCGCGAGGCAGTAGTCTCGGTGGCATGTGTCGTTGATGAGGCGGTTAGTATTCAGCGGTGCTTTCCGGACCTGGAACTTTTGAAAACTAACCAAGTAAAGCCACCTTAATTCCATAAGAGGGAGGCCAAAGGGGTTCGGGCGTCATCGTAACACCCTCTTAATTACAGGATATTAGGACGCCCACAGGAGCCACGGAGGTGCAGGAAGCCAGATAGCGCGATTTATTATTCGCGGTCTACCTTATCTCGCTTTTTAGGAGCCGGATTTCTTGGTCTGTAAACTTCCCTCTTCGTTCTCAGAGATTGATTTCACCTGCCCGGCATTTTTCTTCGAATCCCGTTGCAACCGAGCACAGGCGAAAATTCCCTTATCCACTCTGAAGTATGTGTGCGTGGATTTCGTGGACAGGGTGTCCTGTGAAATGTGGCACTCGCGAGCAGGATTTCAATCTTTGCACATTGAGCAATCACAATTTTTTTAACGAAGCTTCGTTTTTGATAAGAAAAGGGGGCTTTGAAAATTTGCCGGTGTTTAATGAGTAAATTGTGACGATTAATTAACTATGATTCTTTATCGCAAGTTAGAAACCTAAAAAAGAAACTCATATGGAACAATGGAAATTGTTCAAGGGTTGTTGAAGCTTTTCGTTATTCTTTAATTTTCAAAAATGTTTCATCAATTTCTGTGGATTTTAAGTCTGCCAAAATGAGTACTTACACGCAGAGTATTTCTTCCTTTCCACCTTGGAACAAGCCATCCTTGCCCCAACGTTTCGGAAGCTCCATGAAAACTAGACCAACATTTCCCCATAGTGCAAGTTGCGTGCCAGTTTCGTTGATTAATATGTTTTTTATTTCGAAGATCGGAGGGTCGATAGGTCGAAGTTTCTGAAACAATTGAACAAAGTGACATTAGAAATTATTCTAATAGACGAATCATGTTATCACGTGTGTCGTAATAGAATTGATCGTATCTAAAGTCATCGTTGCCAAAAGGAATTGATCAGAAAATCGACAAACGATAGATAATATTCGACTGAAGATCGGTCGTTTATATCTCGGCAAACGCAAGTTTTCATTTGAAATCGTAACGAGATATTTCACGTCGGCTGGTGAAATTCCACTTTCACCCTCAACGCGCATCGTCTATCGATTAATGAACTTTATAATACGATCCTGCTCCCCGTTTGTTTTCCAGTTTGATTTTTATCACGGCGCTCCGGGAAAAAGGCAGGTGTACGACAAGCCTCCTTTCCCTCCTAGCCCACCACCACCGCCACCACTGTCAGGATTTCTCTTTAACATCCCCTTTCCGGTGCTCCTTACCACCCTCTTTCGCCTCGATATTTAATTTCGAACTAAGTTCGCGAACGCGAACATCATTACGGCATCCCGGCAGGTGGGGTATCGGCCCCGTATCAAGGGGCAATTATTTTTTTACCCGAGGGTACATTTACCCAAGACAACGGAACGAGACACAGCGGTATCGAATGTACACTAACGGCCAAAAAGTTTCGAATCACGGCGAGTTACATAAAAATTTTTTTAATTTTTTAACCAATTTTTTTGTCGTTCAAATGGATCGAGATGAAGGTAAATTGATCTTCATAACATCGATTTCATATATATAAAGAATTAGTAGCAGATTCAGTTGGCAAGTGATTCCGAAGTTTTGCCTGACAGGGTATATCTCCTTCGTTCTGTGATACTCAAAGAATAATAGCAACTTGGATTAAGAAGTAAAGGTAAAGAAATTAATTATTAGGTCATCTTGGAAGGATTGCTCCAGATATCCAGTATGAAAAGGAGAATAATAGTACGTTTCGAGTGACTTTCTAAGTACTTTGTTGATCAAATTTTTATCTTTAACTCCAAATTTTACTTTTTTTTTTTTTAATGTTGGAAAGCTTCTCCTGTGGAATGCTTATTTTCAAAGTCACAGTTATTTATTGAGACGAGATTATTTAAAAGGTCATAGGACACGAGGTTGTGAACTTTCTAGCAATTTCCATAATCCCAATACTGCTTGATTTACATTCTTAAAGTTCCGTCAACATTCCTCTCACAATTGTCACAGAATATTAATGCGATTATTAAAAAACAATCACAGAATAGTAATTTGGTTATTAAAAAAAAAGTCAGAGAATATTAATGCGAGCGTCCGTATTGAGATCGTGGCAGCTGTTATCTTCACAAACAGATCCACAAGCAGCAACGAAGAGTCTCAATTATTTTCTTATACCTACCAAAAACACGCTTAAACGTTCAACTTGACCGTGCCGGAGAGGTGTCTCCCTGTAATAAAATCGTTTTTCAATCAAATCGCCCCTGCAGAACGTGTCCCCCAGCCTTCGTGTTTGACCTACAGGGGAGGGAAAAAAATGCGAGGCTAAGCAGCAGAAGCAGCGTCAAGCAAAGAAGGCTAGTGTGTTTAAAAGTTTTCTTCTCATTAAGACTTATTCTCCGAAGACCTCAGCGTGCCGCAACGCGAGCAAGGGAGAGAAAAGGTTCCGTTCTCTCCCCCCGCCCGACTTGCAGTTAGAAACACATTTATTAACGGCAGCTCATCTCATCCCTGTTAAGAACCAGTAAGAGAGTGCTCCCTCCGTTATCCCCTCAGCGAGAGTTCTCATTCACTTTGGTAGCTGTCTGGTGTCCAAGGGTGGGAAGGAAAAAGATGTCACATCGTCGACGCCTTATTAATTCGGAAGCCGAGACTGCAGGCAGCTACGGAGAAGGAAGGTGTCGCGACGCAGAAGAGTCTCCTCTCTCTGAAGAAATTAAAAGAACAGAGGGTATAATGTGAACACATCCATTCCGTGACCCTCTCTCTCTCTTTCTCTCTGTAGAGTCGGTCTCTTTGTCGCTCTTGTTACCGACTCGACACCATTAACTTCTCCACTGTTTCACGCTTTTGCTAAACGTCAGTCTTGTCACGGTTTCTTAAAATCCGACGTACACGCTTATTCTCGATTTTCTTTGTTTTCGTCCCTCTCTTGCCGCCAGATTTCCTGTCCATTACCTTTTCCACTGTAACGTGGGTTGTCGCTTTCAAACGTGATTACGCGCGGTGAACCGCGTTGGCGAGTCTTTGGAAACGTTTGCGGAGTTTAATAAAGATTGACGGATAGACGGTACGAGGAAACGAAGGATTTGACAGGATTTTCGGAATGTAGATCACCGGTGAACCGGCTTTTGGACGTGTCTTGTTTCAATCGTTACTCGAAACAGACTCACTCTCGTCTCTATAATTTTCAACGATATAATGCTTAGTAAAGTAAACAAAATGTGGTTTCGTTTGCGTGTGAAAAAGATTACTGCCTATTTGATGGCAGTACTTTATTTAACGCTAAGATAATGTAAAGAATACTATCTAATCCTGAAACAGAAGAGTTTACGAATTTTTTCTGAAAGTTACATTTATATCCTGTGAAAAATTTGAGACTTTTCATGTACTAGTTACCAATGAAAAAAAATTCCCAAATTTTCACCTATTTTCCCCTTAAAGCAAAATAATTTCCAAAATAATTTACGTAAAAGACAAAAGCTAAATGAGAAGATTGTCCTCTCTGAGATACAAATAAACATTTGCACCCCTTCTTCTAATCTACGTTCTCCAAATTAACGAGACGTCTGAACACGATAAATCCCACCATCAAAAATCCTAATTGTCCAACATTTGAACATAATAAAAACAGATTAATAGCTCGTGGTAAACTTATCAAGCCTGAACTATTACGCAAATGTACGAGTATGATACTCGGGTAGAAAGTTTGAATGTTTCGCTAACGCTTTAGCTAGAGGCACACGTGAAGACATATTGCGGAGAGTAGGTGGGAACCAGGAGTGAGATTTTGGTGGGATGAAAAAGGGAAATACGGCAATCCTGCGTAGCACGTAACACACGGCTAGCCCAGTCAGAGCGAAGCAAAGATGGCAAACGAGGACGTTAGCCGAATAATGCAAAACAAACCTCATCTGAGATATAGTCTGGCATTTGTCCATATTAAGATCTGTTGTGTAAGGTCTGGCTGGGCGCTTTCGTTTCCCGCGTATATGCGTGTACGTTTTGAAATTATTTAGCGAGAGCATCAGTCGTCGTTAGTCAGCTCCTGCCGCATTCCTCTGTTAACTATGTGTATCTTGAGCACCCGTTATGTAGCCATTTATCAGTGGGTCCCTTCATACACGCGTTATTTTCCACGTTAAGATGCACAGCTTCGTCTGCTAATATTTCACATCCTCCTGACGTACCGTATACAGAAAGATTATGTCATCTTGACCAACGTCCTTTCAAACTGCCAAAGTCCTGTGTAATCCCATTGTCACAATTTTGGTAATTCTCAAAGGTGTGCAAGTGAGCAAAGTGTAACACGTACAAACGCCTGAAGATTATGTCATCTTGACCGAGATTCTTTCGAACTACAAAAGTCCTGTGCAATCCATTGTCACAATTTTGGTAATTCTCGAAGGTGTGCAGGTAACACGTCGATCTGCATCGCGAGAGGAAACAACGTGTATCAGAGCTTTGTAACAAGGTGTAACACGTTCAAATGCCTGAAGGATTTGTAAATTCGAAAATCATGCTTAATTGAAATTCTTGGGGAGTAATGGCCTAAGTAGCGAGCGAAGAAGCTGCTTGAACTTATCCAATTTGGTTCTCTCTCGTAGACGATCAACGTCGTAATCGGTGACCTGCTTCGTAGCTGCACAGTGAAACTTGGACCCTTCTAGCTTCGCACTCTCCCCCGCCCCTGATCGTCCTGCCGTGCTTGTTGTCTTATTAGTTTAGAACTTAGGCTTAATATAAAGTTGCGTGTGTCGCTTACGATGGTAGTCTCGCTCGGAGACAATGACGGCTCAGAATTCTCTTCCACGAATCGATACGTCACATTTGTGTAATTTACATTTTTTCCAACCGGAAAGAATAATCAGGATCAAGCATATCGCATCAGGATCGAGAGTCATTTCCTCAGATATTTATTCAAACACTATTTTCTTTCATTCACAACGTGTTTCAGTCGGAGCAAGTCAGCTCATTTCGATCGAGTCTACAGGCTTAGAAATTTGTCCAAACACTGTTTCCTTTCATTCACAGCGTTTCACTCGCGGTAAGTAAGCTCATTTCAAAAATTACGAAAGACAGCTCGTCTAGTTAAGAAGTCGTCCAGCAGCTCTTCAAGAACTGCTTTTGCATATTCGTCGAATTTCTGAGCGAGAGAGATAGGGGAAAGATCAGAGACTATTCGTGACGAAAGTTGACAGCGGAGGAATAGGAAGTTAGCAGAGCTGGCATAACGAGCGGTTTTCAGCGAGAAAGATGCAGAGGGAGGCCCGTTAGGTGGTCGACATTGGGTGTAAATTTACATTGAACGAAATGAGGCGCTATGGGGCATTCCAGTCCGAAGTTAATAGCTTCCCAACGATTAACTGTATCTCCCCACCCAGAGTGTCTACCGGGCATGCTCCTCTCTTTCCCCATGGCCGTTCATTCGACGTGTCATGCCTCTTCGTTCTATCTCTTTCCTTCGAGCTTCGCTATCACCATCTCCTGTCTCACTTTCTCCACGTGTATCTTTCTCCATGGTAGCACGCGTGTCACGTCGTACTTACCTATACTGTTCCTCCTAATAATATATGCTTCGAAGGTTGCGAAACAATTGACGCGCAAGGTCGATGCTTCTTCGTTTTCGATATCGGACTCGTCGCCTTTAACGAAGCTTCCCTTACATTTACCATTGATGTTTCGGCTATTAGCTAACTGCGTGGAAAGAGAGGATTTTCCCATTGATACGTAGGGCGAAGAGCGAAGTTCGACGCGACAGGGGAATAAAGAATCGTGTACAGTTAGCCTGGTGCAAAAGGCGGTGCCTACCGTAGCCACAGCC